TTCAGCAGCACTTTGGCTCCAGCCGCCCACATTGCTAAGCAGCTCTGGGTGCAAGCAGGTAGCACGCCCGAGGCATGAGGAGTACAAGCCCCAGTCTCAAACCTGAAGCGTTTTAGATACTGACCACGACAAGAGCCTGCACTTCCCTGCTTAAGTGAGAGTCACTTCTAGGGTCCCCTCTGCGCTGCAGCAGCACAGAGAAGACACCCCACAACAGGTGAGCTGGGGCTTGGTTTCTGCCATGTTTGCCCCACACAAGTCATACAAGCAGGAAATGTTTTTTGTTTTTTGTTTTTTTTTTTTTGAGAGCCTCATTCACATTGCAACTTGAAAGGCTAGTTAAAAAGTAATTGCTGCTTCAGCACATACATTCCACTCATTTTTGGTGTCACATACAAGTATCCTTTCCATCAGCTGGCTCATGGGGTTGTGTAGATCCCTTGTACCTAGGCATCCAGGATGCCCCAGAGCCTGGAGAATTGCACAGCTGGCCCCTGCCACAAGCAAGAGGAGGAATTTTGCAGCTGTGAATGGATATGGCTGTTTCAGGGTGGCTCCAAGAAAGGAGCCAACAGTAAGGCTCCCTCTTCATGCAGGTAGATGAGTTTGAGTTTATAGCTCTTGAACGCCCAAGATCTGGTGACAGAGTCACAGACCACGTTTGCTGCCCTTTCAGTGTCCCCCTCTTTTAGACCCTCTCTTGCAGGAGAGCCTGCCTGGAGGAAAGCACCCAAAAGAAGGGAAGAGGCTGCAGAGCCTCAGATAAAACAGGATTCTCCCCTAGTCCTAGCCCAATATTGCTCCAGAGGGCACCCTGGGCTGGTGGGGCTCACTGCCTGGGCAAGTGAGTGGTCTGAACCCAACATAGGACAGAGGGATTTCATTTCTAGGACAATGCAACTGTGCCTCCAAGACTTCACCCTCAGATCCTGCAACCTCACAGCACCCCCCTTTGCACCTAAGTTTGCATAGCCATCCAAGCACAGCCCTGATTTACCACCAAAAGCACATTTTGCCTGAGTACCCTTGGGGGCCTGAGGTTTCCACTGGGGCTCTGCAATACCTCTAAAAGGAAAGACCCTTTCCCCCCAGGAGCAGCAAGATCCCCGAGAGATGGCACAGTGAGCGATGGCTAGATTCATTCTCCACCCCCGGGGTGAGCACCTACCCCTTCCCCCACGGTGACCACCTCAAGAGCCTGCATATGGAGATAAATAGCCCCTGGCTGGAGCCTGCAACCAGACAAGTTTAGACTGCAAATGAGGCACCGGGTTTTTAAACAGCCAGAGTCATTAATCTCTGGAGCAAATCACACAGAAGGCAAGGACAAAGTCTGCAAAGCAGCTCCATGTGACCTCCCCAAGGTTGCCCCACAGCTGCCCTCGGGATGCTCCAGACCTGGGGCCAGAGTGGGCAGCGGAGCCACACTGTCCAGACTCAAAGGGAGCTGGTCCAGGCCAGCAGCAGTGACCTGACAAGCCTGCTCAGAAATAGCCACTGCATATTTACAAAAACCCTCAGCGCTTGGAGCTGGGATACAACGGAGACCTCTGCACCCAACCCTGCCTCAGATCTGCCATAGCACCTTTCTCTGCCTCAGTTTCTCCTTGCCCTCAGCAAGAGGAACGTCTTCCTTTCCCCCTACAAGAAAATACTCAGCTCCCAACAATTTACCCAAGGGTATTCAGCCACTTTGGTAACACCTTTGTGACATAGCTTCTCTGCTTCTTCTGGGGCTGGCTTTTCCATGGACTCAGGACTGGGCACAGCCATTTTGCTCAGAGCCAGGCCTCAGGTAACCTCTGCTTAGCGCCACCTGACAGGACAGGATAGCAAAAAAGGATCCTTCTCCCCTCAGCTCTGCTCCGGGAAAAGCACTCAGAGCTCAAGCACTGTAGGTGCTAGGCAGGTCTCTGAAGCTCCCCTGCTCTTTAATCAGAGCAATCTCTCTCAGCTGTGCGTGCATGGCCAGTCCAGGTGCAGCTGGGCCAGTCACCCAGGGCCTCCACCCTGGCCGTTACCACAGCTCCAGGCTGTGCTCTGAGGTCCTCTTTTCAGCCTTTTGTCCCAAACACACTTAGTTCCCTCTCCTGTCAGGCTAGGATAGATCTTTTATCAGTATTTACCAGCACTGAATGGCACTAGTGGCTTTGTGACCCTTTCTCCTGGCTTGGGTTAGGCCCTTCGGAAGCACTTCACAGCCTTTAAGTATTAACCGTCCAAGAGCTTTTTATTTTTGGTTGCAGGCATAATTTGCTGCTTCAGCCTTCACTGATTTTGCAAGACTCTAAGACGAGATATTAAACACAGGTGATTAGAAAAGACATGATTCTGGCACACTATTAGAGACACATGCAAGAAATCTTCTTCCTTTTCATGAACTGAGAAAATGGAGAGCAGAGGTCAAATGACTTTGCTCAAGATTAAAAAGATTACCAAGAACTAAAGGCAAAGCCAGGAATAGAACTCAGATCTCGAGGATCCCATTACTCCTGCCCTGTCCCTAATGCACACTTGCTTCTTTTCTGAGTGGCTGATTTAAGATGAAAATGAAGAATTAACTTCCAAGCTGTTCTTGGAAAGAGAGAAGAAAGGGTGATATTGTCTACTGTAAGGGGAGAATTAAAGATGACATTTCATTTTTAGTCCTCTGGATATGCATAATATAATCAAACACAACAGCAGTAATAAATGAATATTTTTTCTCCCCATGGTGCTTGCGAGTGCAACATATCCTAACAGTTTTTCAAAAGTATGTTGATAAATTGGAAACACAGTGATGGAGGTAACAAGGACAGCCAACAAAAACATAACTCATTCAATTTATCAGAAGGACTTTGAGAAAAGAACCCTTGAAATCTGAACAGCCCTATTCTTAAAAAACAGACATACTACATTACGAAAGATACGCTTTTTATGCATGTATATGAGCCTGTTAATTAAAGATTTGCCTAGGCAACTGGGGCTAAACAAACTATTTGGAAGGATTTCACCAACTTGGTTCCAGTTGGGAGAGGCAAGTTTGCATACTGGAAAGCCACAATGCATGGAAGCACAGGGGTAAAACGGCAAGGAGGCCAGAAGAGGCCAGGTTTTCAATTTACCAGTTGGATTGGCCTTATTTTAACTATAATGAAAGAGCAGGTCCATTATGTCAGACAACTAATCCATCGGATATGTATGAGCACTGGGGGTTTCACATGCTCTGGAGTGTTTTTTCAGCCTCTTGGTCTGTGGGACATACCTGTGACACACGACATCAAAAAGTGTTCTCTGATACAACTATAATTTCTTTAAACATATACACTGCACGCAAGTCAGCCAACAAATGAAACGGGGAGAAAACAAAGACAATAAAAAGAACATTGAAAGTTTAGTCTGTTTTTTGTTTGATTGTAAAGGAAAAGCAGTGAAGTAATTCAGCAAAAGATGGGCTTGTTTTCTCAAAGGTCTTCAGTTTGAAAGGTGACTCAGAAGGTAGCCTTGCCGTACCTGAGGCTGCCTTTTCAGGCTCTCCCTTCATACAGCAGGCAAGTCTGGTCCTGAGGGCTGCTTCACAGTCACTTTTAGCTAAAGAACTGTTATTTCAGATGCATTAACACATAGTATGCTCCCATACCCGGCTGTAACAGGAGAGCCCAGCTCTAGAATCAGAGGCCATCTCCCAACCACTCAGCATCACTCACAGTATTACAAAAGTTAGTAGTTATCAGAAGAGTCAGAATATTGCTAGAGAAAATGAAAATCATTGCAAATGAGTTTTAATTGGCCTGCCCCTTGAATTCTGTGAGTGCATTTTTCATGTGGATACTAAGAAGAGACCAAAGTAATAACAGCTTTGCTCCGTTTGATAAAATTCTGTGGAGCTTTAGAACTATGAAGTGTCCTTTTGAAGTTAGAAGCAATCACTGATAAGACCATCTAAAACCAAAAACGCTCTGGATAAAAGCCTTCCAGCTTCCTAAGGAGCCTACGCTATTTCATCATGACATGACAAAGCAGTCCACTCAAGGAACCTTAGAAAATTAGAAGAGATGGATAATGGCTAGTTACAGTAAGAGCTAAAAATCTCTATTATAAATTAAATTATAAGATTACTAGGATTATTATAACATGTTTAGTAGTGGGGAGTAGAACAAAACTAAACATTTTGGGGTACTGTTTTATTCTTTTTAACTAGAAGGGAGCTAATGTGTTTCTCTGAAGATTTATTGGCTTTGACGCGGAATAAATCAATCACAGCTGAACTCGTAATGGAATTGAACTGAAAAAATGTCATGATTACACAAGCAGTTTAGCATATGGTATATATGATATACAGTGATATTGTATGAAGCACAAGAAATGATCCAAAAGTCATAATTTTTGGCAAAATTCATTACCTTAGAGGGAAACTTTGCCTGAGTGAAGCACTTGGGTGGGTATTATAAAGTAACATACTGGGTAAAATAATTCAGATTGAAAGATAATTCAGCAGAGGGAAAGCGGGATGATTTAAGAGATCGGCAAGATAGCGACCACCTTCGGTGGAGTCCTCGGAAAAATCATTTCTATCACCTTTGATGGCAGATGAAGATTCTCTCAGCTGTGCACCCAATGGCGAACTGATCTGCACGTGCACAGTGAGTTTGGCACACCCTTGACTTATCAGACT